GTTAGAAGCCAATTTATTTATTTTGACTTAATTGGTTTTCAGTGATTAGACTATTATTCTTAAATTGATCCTTATTTATATTTAAATATTTTATTGTTTCTTTGCAATGGCATAATGATGGTTAAATCACTGATGTTGCTAAAATTCTTTTATCATCATTTTTGTTGTAATTTTTTTTTTTTTTATCATTTTTATTGAAATTGGGGTTTCCATTTTAATTCAAATCATTGATAATTGAAATCCTTGTGCTTTTGTAGGTAATGGAACAATATTGTTAATGAGTTGGACACTTATTGTTGGAAGCTGAAACTGGGGATGTTGCTCCCACATTCTTCTAGGAGTTGATTTAAGATTCAAGTGTTTGTCACTTTGCAATTCAAGACTCACATCGCAAGCCTAAAACAATCCTGCTGGCAGTCACGTAGATGGTCCTTCAAATGACGCATTGAGGCGATGAAAGATACAATGTTTTGGTTTAGTTAGATGTTATTTTAGTTGGATGTTGTTTTGGTGATTTTAGCCTTATGTTCAAATTAAAAGCCTTGATATGAACAAAATTGATTGAATGTTAATTGATTTCAGCCTTATTATGTTAATTGGCAAAATGTTTTGGTTTAATTGCCTTGATGTTAATTGATTTCGACCTTGTGTTAATTGACTGAACGATAAACTAAGGATGAAGACTGCTTAAGTTTTCCAGCATTAATCTGGACTGTTTGGTTTTTCCAATAAAATTCTCACCTGGAGTGAACTTGGTTGTTTCTATGGCATTCCATCTATGTATTTGGACAATCATCAAAAAGCCTTAATATTTGTCAAGATAGCAAGAACAGCACTGATATACATTTCCAATCATTTCAATAATAGCAACAACGTTTCAAAATCAACAATTTTCAAAACTTCTAAATTCCCAACTATTTCAATAATAGCAACAACATTTCAAATTTCACAATTTTCAGAAGTTCTACATTCCCAACCATTTCAAAAATCAAACTAGTCAATTACAACATTGAAACATAGTTACTTCTTCATAATTAAAATAATAGCAATTACAAGTAACACCAATTATACAATCAAAAGTTTATTGCTTATTGCGTCTTCGCGGTCAAAAATCAAAGTTGTTCACTAACACTCTCCATATCTTATAACTTCACTTTGCAATAGCACAACTCTCTCTTATAATTCCATCACTTCTTTGTGTTGCATTTGTAGGACACATTACTCATTGCTGGTATAGAATGATCTCCACATTGATAATAGTACACTTTGTTGGGCTTCAACCCTGCAAAAAGAAGAGGAGAAGAAAAAATAAAAATAAAAGAAGCTCAAATTAACACATCACAACAAATTCGTCACTATTGTGTCTATGGCTTCAACCCTAATGTTCATAATTATAGATTTAACAAAATTATTTTCCAATGACACACACACTCGTGTGAAGTGGAAAAAATTGAATTGCTCTGTTTTGAGACATATAACAATTTCATTCAATAAAAATAACAATTGTTAATCAGCTCAATCAAACCGTAAACTAAGAAATGAACATTATACTAACACAATTCATTGAGGCCTAACTACATACACATCATATGTGCAATTTTGACAACACAAACCATATCTTGACCTTGGGAAGATGGATTACCTTACTCCAATCACTCATCTTTTCCACTATTTTTGTGGATTCAATCTTCCTTATAGGTAAGCAAATAGTTTTGCTTGTAAAGAGCATGGTGAGGCTGCAATCTACAATCTTTGGCAACAAATCTAGACATTGACGCCATAGAAGATCGGATGGAAAGGGAAGACAAAGAATCAATGGAGGGGGTTCAGTTCAGACCATTCCTCTGTTCTTTGAAACTGATTAGGGCTTTGAAACTGATGAGAGAGAAAGGAAAAGAGGGGAGCAAACTCCTAGAAATCAAACCTATTTACGAAAGCAACAAGAAATTCAAATCAAGAAATCATATACATATAAATCATATATATACATACATATTTAAGCACCACATGAAAATGAAGATGGAAGAGGAGACCTCACCGCCGCCTCATCTCGCCTAGTTGCAGCTGCTGTCGCCTCTGGAGTCGCCGTCGCCCACCCTCCTCTGCGTCGGAGGAGCCCTTCAAGTCTGCCTCTCTCATGAGGGTTAGGGTTGTCTCAACAATTGAAGAAGAAAGGGCAAAAGGAGAAGGAAATGTTTTTTTTGAATTTATTATCAAAACGATGTCGTTTTGGCACCATGGTAGGATCATGGCAGGAAATCATTGCAGAGGATTTGGACTCGAGTATTGATTGAATGACTATGACTGCTATGAGCCTTAAGGCTCTGTTTGGTTTAGGCTTAAATAGCAATTTTTTTGATTATTTATGAAATAAAAAATTAACCCTGTTTGACAATGTCTTAAAAGAACCAAAAAAAAAAAAAAAAAAAACAAAATTTACTAATGTGAAGAGAATTCAAAAGCTAAAAAATATTGATTAATTGATGTTTCAATATAAGTTTTTATTTTTCACTAAGCTCAAAATTTAGCTTTTTGATCACGTGCCAAAGGTAATTAAAAAAAAAAAAAAGGAAAGGAAAAATTACATTGATTTTCTCTAAAATTTAGAGAAAATAAAATAAATATCACAATTTAAACATAATTATACCACTTTCTCTTTTAACGTAGCTAAAGGGATAAAATTAATACAGTCAATATAAAAGAAATATCGTTTTTCCATTCAAGCATGTCCAATTCTTAACTTTCTTTTTTGCTCATCAAATTAAAATTTGATTAAAAAAAATACTCAAAAACTATCTGTAATCATTTAATCAAATGGTTATCAAATTAAGGAATTTTTTTTTCCCATCAAATTAAAAATTCATCAAATCCTTTGTCAAATTTAAATTTAATGAAAACTTAAAATGATAAAACATTGGAGATGATTTTTGCATCAAAATTAAGAGAAATTTAGAATAAAAAGAATTTTTTAATGAAAAGATTGATTAATTCATATTAAATCGAAATGTTTAAGGAAACAAATTTAAAGCCAAATTAATTTTTTTTTTTTAAAAAAACAAAATAGTATTTGCATCATTCTATTTGTATCCACAGTTTCTACAAATTGTTTACAATGTCATGCCTCAATTCCCAATCCATCAACATTCTTTCCTTCATTCGAACCCTCAAATTAGATTACCCACTAAGAATTTCCCTAGAAATCTACGTTTCTCTTCTCGAAGACTCGCATGCGAGTTTGAAATTAGGGTTTCTTGAGGTTTTCGTGAAGCGGGGAGTTATTGTGGTTTTAATGCTTGTGAATTGGAGTTGACTTCTATAAATCTTCAATCTTACTGCACCCGCTCACATTACACCTCTAGTTACAAATTACAAGCTACCTTAACTGAATTGCTAAAAGTTCATTCGAAAAAATTGGCCATACAAATCAATCAATTTTCATTGCAAATGTAACAAGATTTTATTTCCCAGTGTCAAATTTTTTTGTTTCCTAAGGCTGTGTTTAGATCATGGATTTGGGTCGGAATTTGAAAAAGAAAATGAGAAAACTGAGTAAAATATAAATAAAATATAAGTTACATTTTTTTCTTCATTTCCTTTTCCAAGACTGCAAATGTGCTATGACTATGAATAACATGTTAATGCCTTGTCACATGACTGCCTTTTATCTCCGTTGTTTCAGTAAATACATGCTTTGACAGTCATGAAGTCTCTGATAGAGTAGTAAATTACAAGCTTTTGAATGGAAATTGTCATCTAATGTAAATGGAAATGAGTTGTCAATTGAAGATAGTTTCAAGCTTCACTAATCTATTAGTGTTCTAAAGAAACATCAGTTGTGTTATAGAAAAAAGAGGATTCTTAACATTTTTTTCTCTCTTGCTGAGAAACCATTCAATCTTTAGTTCCTTTCTCAAAAAAAAAATTGATTTGTACATGCAAGAAATAGGCTAATTCAGCCCTTTTTTGTTCAATTTCTCATGAATTAAAATTCTTATCAATAGGAGTCAAGGGAATGGCCCCTTGCCCTCAAATTTCCATTTAAAGGTGGATGTCGATGTCAATCCTCGAGTGCAAGTAACATGGCATTTCCTCAGAAATGTCATTGAGAGTTCAAAATGTTAGGTTTTTATTCTTAGCAATCCCGCTTGACAAAACTCCTTTCAGTTGTAATTTTGTTCATCTTTTATTTCAGTGAGGCTATGAGTTTTTAGATGCGAATCCAACCCGAATTGTGCCTTGTAGAGATATTTCAGAAGTTAATTCTTTCATGTTTGCCACTTCACTGACTATGCCGGGAATCGAGCTGAAGTTGTTTGGTCGCTCGAGCAGAGGAATGTGGGCTCGAGCAAAGAATCCTTGGTCCCAGATGTTTTCACTGACTGTAAAAATACTGAGAAGCTGCATTTCTCGCTCGAGCGACACTTTGGTGGCTCAAGCAAAGACACTTGGAAAAACACGCGTTTTAGTCTCCTTGCTAGAGCGACCTTCGCGGCCCTGTTTTCTATAAATATGTAGTTCTATTAGTTTTTAGGGTTATGGCTTCTAGATCTTCTTCTTGGATATTAGGGTTTATATCTGGAGCTTCTTTGCTAGTTTCTTTGACGTTTGTTTGAGTTTAACTCATGGTTTGAAAAGCATACATCAAAGGATTGTTTGTTTTGTTCAATACAAAAGAGTGTTGTTCTTCGGTGAATTCCGTAGAATTCAGGCCTGAAGCTTTGGTGGATTCCAGAGTGGCTCATCGTCGTGATTCGCACACCGGTGTTATAGATTTAACGTTAGGCATGACAATTCCGAGGTGAAGACGGGGCTGGAAGAAACATATAGGGGTCGGTTCGATTTGAGCGTGGATTCGCTAGGTAATTGAGAGTACACTTGTGTAATTCCTTTATGTCTTCTTAGTGGATTGTTTTGTGGTTTTTGCCCGTGGTTTTTTTTTATGTTGATGATAACATGGTATAATTGTTACATTGATTTTTTTTTTCCCCTCTTGTTTGTGATTGTCATAATTGGAAAATGTGTGACAAGAAAGAAGATATAGAACATTAACACACCTCATCCAATATGTAGAGATAAGGTTGTTTTATGATGGTTCACTCAAAATTAAGATTGTGGAGGAATTCTGTTAAAAGTATGTCTGTTGTATTTTTATTTTAGGGTTTAGCTTCTCCCACGTTCACATCTGAACCTGAACACTTGAGGGGCTCGTGGGCCTACCATGGATCCCGTTTCAATGATCTTTAACTGCTCATTTTCTAGAACCCGCAATGTATATCAACCATGAAAAAATTAGTTTGATCTTCGTAACCTTTTTATTTTTTCTCATTTGTCTTAAGAAATGGATTAGCCATTTTTTAGAGATAAACACGATAAAATGAAAATATTATGATTATCGGATCGACATAATTTTTTTTTGGAACAATATACATCGAGGGCCTTACAAAATGACCGATTCATACTATCAAAACGGAAATCGTGATGGGCCTCACTGGTCCCTCAAGTTCTCTCATGTTGAGATGTGAACATGAGAAGCCTAACCCTTTATTTTATTTTATTTATTTAGGTTCAAAATCTTCTTTTCCAGTTTTGCTAACAATTCATTGAAACATACCACTGCCTAAAATATGGTATCTGTTATTGTATATGTGTGTGTGTTTTAATTTTTATAGTTATGTAACGATATTATAAAAGAAAATCGATTGTAGAATCATCATCTTCACCGATTCATGACGAGTCTCCAAAACAGAGTCGTATAGAAATCAACTTGTTAGACCTTCCTCAAGATTCGGGGCTACGACCTCAGATTACAGATTATCATCATATCATCTGAGAACAAGTTCGTAGGGTGTACTTATTAAAAGGCCCTTGTCAACCTCATAATCACAATTTTCCATGAAGGAAAATTGGGCAATCATCAAGAAGGTTTAACCCTTTATGGTTTGATGAATTTGGTAGTTGGTTGGAGTATAGCATAGCTAAAGATGCTGCATTTTGCCTTTGTTGTTACCTTTTTAAACTCATTGTAGGAGACCAAGGAGGTTGTAAGTCTTTTGTTGTTGATGGGTTTTCAAGTTGGAAGAAGAAAGAAAGGTTGCAAGGTCATGTGGGAGAGGTGTTAACAACCCTCACAATCAAGCTTGGAGAAAATGTTAGTACTTACTAAATCAAAAGCAACATATTGAAACAGTTTTCTCCAAGCTACTTGATGAAACCAACAGTGATTATAGAGTTCGATTGACTGCATCAATTGATTGCATCCGACTTCTTTTGCGACAAGGGATTCCATTACATGGGCATGACGAATTTGAAGATTCGAGCAACCAAGGAAACTTTTTTGAGCTTTTGATGCTTCTTTCAGATCAAAATGAGAATCTCATAACTGTTTTGTCAAAAGATGTTCCTGAACACCTTAAATTGACAACACCTAGTATTCAAAAGGATATTGTTAATGCCATTGCGGTTGAAACTACCAATGCTATTGTTAGAGAACTTGGTGATGGCATGTTCTCTATTGTCTTTGATAAATCTTGGGATGCGTCGATGGAGGAGAAATTGATTGTTTCTTTGAGATATGTGTGTTAGGTTTTTGTTATTGGCAATCTTGTTTGACAAAACTCCTTTAAGTTGTAATTTTATTCGATATTATTTTAGTGAGGTTATGAGTATTTAGATGCGAATCCAACCTAAATTGTGCCTTTGTAGAGGAGATTATGTGATCTTAATCATATCATGTTTGCCACTTCAGCGCCCATGTGGGGTCAAGGGGCAATGCCCTCGAAGCAAAAAGCAAAAATGCAGTCAAAGTTGCTTGACTGCTCAAGCGGCCATTTGTGCGCTCGAGCGAAGAATCTTTGATTCCAGAAGTTTGAATTGTCTGCAAAAGTACTGGGAGCTATGTTTTTGCACTTGAGCGGAGTTCCGTGTTTTGAAACACGAGGTTTAGTCAGACCGCTCAAGCGGCTCTATTCCTGCACTCAAGCGGAGATCGCGATTCTGTTTTCTATAAATCTGCTATCAATTCAGTTTCTAGGGAACGGCTTCCAGATCTTCTTCTTGGGTATTAGGGTTTTTATCTGGAGCTTCTTTGCTAGTTTCTTTGATGTTTGTTTGAATTTAGCTCATGGTTTGAGAAGTATACATCAAAAGATTATTTGTTTCATTCAATACAAAAGAGAGAGTTGTTCTTCACTGGAATCTGGGGATTTCGAGCTTGAAGCTTTGGTGGATTATAGAGTGGCTCCTCATCGTGTATTCGACATTAACGTTGTGGGTTCAACGTTGGGCGAGACATTCCGAGGTGAAGATGGTGGTGAAAGAGGCACATTGGGGTCGGTTCAATTTGGATGTGGATTCGCTAGGTAATTGAGGGTACACTTATGTAGTTCTTTTTTGTCTTCTTAGTGGATTGTTTTATGGCCTTGGCCCATGGTTCTTTTAATCACAATTGGAGGCCCTCCAATTGTGGTTTTTCCACATTAAATCGTTGTGTTGATTCATCTTTGATTGTTTAATTGGGATTGTTATTTACTGTTTAAAATTGATACATAATCACAAATCAATATCTTGGGAATTTTAGATTTTTCAATGTGGATGGTAGGGGCTATGTAATTGTGCATTTTTTGGGTGTTAAGCAAATTTCTAGTTCTAGTGTTCTTTCATTTAAGAAGGCGGCTGAAGACTTATTTTCTACACATATTGAAGACATATCTAGGTTGCGTGGACAAAGTTATGATGAGGTTAATAATATTGATATGCAAGGTGAGTTCAACAAATTCACTACACTTATAATGGAGGAGAATGAAAGTTATTATGTTCATTGTTTTTCTCATAAACTTGAATTAACTCTTGTGGAGGCAGCAAAAAGTCATATCCATACTGCAAAACTCTTTTACATGGTTTCTAAAGTAGTTAAGGTTGTTGGAGCTCCATGTAACCATCAAGATGTTCCTCGGGAGAAGTAAGTTGCTGAAGTTGTTCAAGCTCTAAAGAATGATGAGATTACAAGTGGGAAAGGTCTCAATCCTTGTGGGGGATATATGTTTGGGATCACATTATGGGACTTTGTTGAGTTTGATTAGTATGTTTTCAGATGTGCTTGATGCGATAGTAGACGATGGATTCTATTTCAACGACAGAGCAGAAACATTCTACCTATTTGACCCATTACAATCCTTTGATTTTGTGTTTAATCTACATTTGGTGAGATCCGGATTGGGAATTACAAATGATTTTTCACAAGCGTTCCTAATATGGATGACTTGTATGTACCTCGAGGGAGATCAAGGTGTATAGATCTAGAAATGACAAACTCTTATCACTACTTCATCAAGTTGTTCGATTTTGTTATTGATATGCAACTCTAAGAGCTGAATAATCATTTTAATGAGGTGAACACTGAGTTGCTTCTTCGTGTTGCATTCCTAAATCCATCCGATTCATTTGTTGCTTTTGATACGACAAAATTGATCTGTTTTGCCCAATTTTATCTAAAAGACTTTTCAGCTATTCAGCTTACAGCACTTCCTATTCAACTTGAAAATTTTATCATTGATATGCAGTCTAATGTTGAGTTTTCAAATTTAAAAGGAATCAGTGATGTTGCTCGGAAGATGGTTAATACTAGAAAAAAGAGAATTTTTATTTCTTGGTTTACAAATTGTTGACTTTGGCACTGATATTACCTGTTGTGACTGCCACAATAAAGAGGGCATTTTCTGCGCCAAAGATTGTGAAGAACTGGCTTCGCAATGAAAATGGTGATTAGTCGATGAATGATTGCTTGGCTATGTATATTGAGGGAGAGATATGTAGCAGCATTCCAAATGAGGCTATCATGCATCGTTTCCAAAATATGGAAAGTCTTTGAGGTTATTTGTAAGTAAACCCGTATCTTATCAATGAATATCTAAGTTTTTGCTTTGTTCTTAGTTCAAAATTTTTGCTTCTTTCGATTGTCAAATAGGAAAATTTTCATGAATGATTCTAGGTAAGTTCTTACCCCCCTTGACAAAAATCATAGTTTTGCCCTTGAGGATTGCTTGTTCCAAGAGACAGAGAGCATATAGAGTAAAAATGCATTTGATTGTTCAGTCAAAATGGATTAGTTCACTCTACTTTAGGGGAAAAAAATTAACATGCATATGAATTAGAAGAAGAAGAAAGAAACATAAAAATGAGCAGAAGCTACTAAGCATTTATTCTTTCTTGTATCCAGCTTTGCTTGCATTTTCTTTTATCATTATTATCATTATGTTCATTCTAATTTGTGGATGATGCTAGTGTGAATTAAATTTCTTGTTGCCCAATTATAAATGCTACTCATTTATAATCCGTTTATGAAATTAAAACAAATAAGTTTCAAACGAATAAAATTGGGCGTGGTTGACGGTTTCGAGTTGAGCTTGTCAATACCAATTTGAGTATAAGTTCCGTCATTCTGAAAATTTAGCAAATATCAACTTCAAAGTACTCCCTTATTTCCAAGAAGTTATCTCATGGCTGTATTTCTATCTTAAAACAATGAAATACATAATTAGTTTGTCTAAAATATATATAAAAAAAAAGAAAAAAGAAAAAGAAAAACTAATTGCATATCTAATACACTTGAATATAGGCCAGACTTATAAGACAATTATGACTTATATTTTCAGTCACATTCCTTAGAAATCTCCCACCACCTACCCAAGTTGGTTGTCCTATTCTATCTTTAACAATTATTAAGAGGAAATAGAGCGATACTGTCCATTCAAAAATAAATTAATAAGTCTTGTTTTTAAGTGTCAAATCATAAATTGAATCATCAATTGATTTTTTAATAAAATAAATGATGAATTTTAAGATTCACTTCATTTTATATTTTAAATAAAATATATTCATAAAAAATCACAGATATAGTTCTTAAAATTAAAAAAAAAAATCTATACATATAATATGAATTTGTGGATGATGCTGGTGTGAATTAAATTTCTTGTTGCCCATTTATAAATGCTACTCATTTATAATCCGTTTATGAAATTAAAACAAATAAGTTTCAAACAAATAAAATTGGGCGTGGTTGACGGTTGCGAGCTGAGCTTGTCAATACCAAATTGAGTATAAATTCCGTCATTTTGAAAGTTCAGCAAATGTCAACTTCGAAGTATTCCCTTATTTCCAAGAAGTTATCTGGTGGCTATATTTCTATCTTAAAACAATGAAACACAAAAAAAAAAAGAAAAAGAAAAACTAATTGCATATCTAATACACTTGAATATAGGTCAGACTTATAAGACAATTATAACTTATATTTTCGGTCACATTCCTTAGAAATCTCCCACCACCCACCCAAGTTGGTTGTCCTATTCTATCTCTAACAATTATTAAGAGGAAATAGAGCGATACTGTCCATTCAAAAATAAATTAATAAGCCTTATTTTTAAGTGTCAAATCATAAATTGAATCATCAATTGATTTTTTAATAAAATAAATGATAAATTTTAAGATTCACTTCATTTTATATTTTAAATAAAATATATTCATAAAAAATCACGTATATAGTTCTTAAAATTAAAAAAAAAAAATCTATACATATAATATGAATTTGTGGATGATGCTAGTGTGAATTAAATTTCTTGTTGCCCATTTATAAATGCTACTCATTTATAATCCCTTTATGAAATTAAAACAAATAAGTTTCAAACAAATAAAATTGGGCGTGGTTGACGGTTTCGAGTTGAGCTTGTCAATACCAAATTGAGTATAAATTCCATCATTTTGAAATTTCAGCAAATGTCAACTTCGAAGTATTCCCTTATTTCCAAGAAGTTATCTCGTGGCTATATTTCTATCTTAAAACAATGAAACACCAAAAAAAAAAAGAAAAAAAGAAAAAGAAAAACTAATTGCATATCTAGTACACTTGAATATAGGCCAGACTTATAAGACAATTATGACTTATATTTTCAGTCACATTCCGTAGAAATCTCCCACCACCCATCCAAGTTGGTTGTCCTATTCTATCTCTAACAATTATTAAGAGGAAGTAGAGCGATACTGTCCATTCAAAAATAAATTAATAAGTCTTATTTTTAAGTGTCAAATCATAAATTGAATCATCAATTGATTTTTAATAAAATAAATAATGAATTTTAAGATTCACTTCATTTTATATTTTAAATAAAATATATTCATAAAAAATCACAGATATAGTTCTTAAAATTTTTAAAAAAAAAAATTATACATATAATATGAATTTGTGGATGATGCTAGTGTGAATTAAATTTCTTGTTGCCCATTTATAAATACTACTCATTTATAATTCGTTTATGAAATTAAAACAAATAAGTTTCAAACTAATAAAATTAGGCGTGGTTTACAGTTTCGAGTTGAGTTTGTCAATACCAAATTGAGTATAAATTCCGTCATTTTGAAAGTTCAGCAAATGTCAACTTCAAAGTATTTCCTTATTTCCAAGAAGTTATCTCGTGGCTATATTTCTATCTTAAAACAATGAAACACATAATTAATTCATCTAAATAAAAATAAAAACAAAAACTAATTACATATCTAATACACTTGAATATAGGCCAGACTTATAAGATAATTATGACTTATATTTCCAATCAATTCCTAAGAAATCTCCCACCACCCACCCAAGTTGGTTTTGTCCTATTCTATATCTAACAAATATTAAGAGGAAGTAGAGCAATATTGTCCATTCAAAAATAAATTAATAAGTCTTATTTTCAAGTGTCAAATCATAAATTGAATCATCAATTGATTTTTTAATAAAATAAGTGATGAATTTTAAGATTCATTTATATTTTTAAAATACATACATAAAAAATCATATATATAGTTCTTAAAATTAAAAAAATACATATAATATAAAATATTAAAGTGCAAGTGTACAATTATAGAATATATATATATATATTAAATATAATATGAATTTTATTAATGTGTGTCCTTGAGACACGAGAAGAAATTTAAAAGTATTATTCATCATGAATAAAAATGAGTATAATAAATTAAATATAATACTTTTAATCTATTTACAAAATTAACACAAATTTAAATAAGTTTCAGACGAATAAAATTGGCCGTGCTTATTGGTTTTGAGTTAAGTTTGTCAATTCTAAATTGAGTATGAATTCAGTTACTTTGAAAGTTCAACACAATATCTCTTATTTCTAAAAAATTATTTGGTGGATCCATGTTTCATGATGGCTGTGCTTTCATGGAATTGGGGACCGTAGGCACAACAAGCATAACATGGTGTTGTAAGGCTCATTGGATCTTTGTCCCGAACTCAAATTATTGATTCAAACTTTTCATTGTGTAAGGTTTATTGGGTAGATTATCTATGAAAAAAATCAAATCAGTTGGTTATTTATAACCTTAAAATAACATCACATATTTTTAAAAAAATAAGCGATTAATATAATATTAATAATTTATTTTAAAGCAATTAGGACTTGATTTTTTACAATGATGATAGGTTCGACAAACCTTATAATGTGAATTATTTAAATCATCAAATAGATGTGGGACAAGTCTTCATGATACATCAAAACATGCATTATGTGCCACAAGGGACAACACGCACCTCATATATAGCGATTTCGATTTTGACCCGACTCGTTTGATAAAATTAAAAAAAAAATACTATACATAATCCAGGTGGTTATGTAGGAGGAATTATTTTGTTTTGCATGTATCAACATGTATTAACTTCAAGGTATTCCCTTATTTCCAAGTTATCTAGTGGATCCATTCTACTAGGTGGTTATGTGCGAGGAATTATTTTGTTTTGTGGGAATTTCACGTTGGTCGTGTGGTTAGCGAATAGTAGGGGCTAAATGAATACATGACTTCCAAATAAGGAAATAGTGGAGAAATTATAGAATATTATTGGATGGGCACATGGACACGCAGTATTCCAAACTTACTAAATAATTTTTGGTTGTGTGCCGATCTTATAACAATGAGACACATAATTAGTTTGCCTCAATTGTAAGAGAAAATGTATGAAAAATTAATAATATGGTCTCATACACTTAGAAGGACAAACCACATAAAATACAGGTTAGTCCTTAGAAATCTCCCATCTCTAACAATTATCAAGGGAACTAGAGCAAAGCAATGTGTTCAAAAATAAATTAAAAAAAATTATCAATAAATCTTATTTTCAAGAGTATTAATGAATCATTTTCAATGCAGACAATTAAAAGTCTTATCTATTCTAATTTATTCTAAAAAAGTTCACTTTTTCTTAATACTATATTTTATTCCAATTATACCATAAACAACAATTACATAAACAATTTTAATTTACTTAAAAAAATATATTTTTTATTTGCAAAAATTGAACAAACTGCATCAAACAAAATCATACTCAACAATTTGATGAAAATAACTATATCATAGGATTCATCATTTTCTGTTGCCTTGTACTATGAAAAATATATTTATTAAACAATCTATAATGTCTGTTTTTTTAAATATTCCATTAAAGAAATTGTGAAAAATAATACCCTAAAAAATTCATTTTTTTTTATTAAACTGCGGGACAACAAAAAAAAAATGATTCTTACATTTATGCTTTTGTTCAATTAAAAGCAAACCAGTCCCAAAATATTTTATTACTTGCTTTATAAATAGTCAAGGCATTACCAAGTTTTAATTGATTAAAGGAAAACTATATTAGTAGTCTTTATATTTTTACTCTTGTGTTATTTTTGTTTTTATAATTTCAATTGACTCAATTTCAATATTAATTTATGATTTTATCTTAATTTGATCCAATTGATTACAACTTTTAGTATTTTCTTTTTATAAAAAATGTGCCTATGAGTTGCATGCTTCATATTTTTATAGCTAAAAAATTGTAAACTTATTCAATTCAATTCTCAACTAACTCAGTAACATTTTTTCTTTCAACAACCATAATTAATGTTATCAATTAAATCAAATTAAAAAAAAATTAAAAGTTAAGAATTCGAAATAAAATTAATTAAAAATACTTAAACTAAAATGACACAATAGACAAAATGTAAAGAATATCAAGACAAAGAATCATTGTTGCGAATTTGGAAGTCATGTGGCTGGTGGACAAAATTACACAGTTGCTGTGCTTGACGGGCTGGGCTGGGTTGCTCCACCACCACTACCATAGAAAGACTTAGCAGTGTGTATAAGAATGAGTAATGCATTTATTCCTTCTCCATCATCAAACTACTATCCTTCCTATACTCTCCTTTTCATATCTCTCCGAACCCTTCTACCTGTAAGAGAACAAAATGAGTTGGCTTATGTTTGTTCTTCATCAATTTCTTCTGCTATTTCTCTTGTCTTCTTCTTCTTTTTCTACTTCTGCACGCCATACCTGCCTTGAGGACCAGAGATTTTCACTTCTCCAATTTAAAACAACATTTACCATAACTGCTAATGCCTCTTCTCCACGTTGTGAATCTGATTCTCATCCTAAAATGGTGTTCTGGAATGAGAGTAGTGATTGCTGCTCGTGGGAGGGGGTCACGTGCGACTGGTCCAATGGTCATGTGATTGGACTTGACCTCAGTTGCAGCCACCTTCAAGGCACCATCCAACCCAACACCACCCTCTTCCACCTTCGTCACCTCCAAACCCTCAATCTTGCCTTCAATGACTTCAATTTCTCTACAATTTCACCTGATTTTGGCTCTTTTCCAAGTTTGACCCATCTCAACCTCTCTTTCTCTAATTTTACGGGCCGAATTCCTTCAAAAATCTGCCATCTGTCCAAATTGATTTCCCTAGACCTCTCTTATTTGGATGGTTATTATTATCCTCTCAAGGGGAGACTTGAACAACACACTTTCAATATGCTCCTTCGAAACCTAACCCAATTAAGAGAACTACACCTTGATTTGTTGAATATCTCTTCACCTTTACCTCATGCTTTGCTAAATCTATCTTCTTTGACATCTCTCAGTCTTGGTTATTGTCAACTGCGTGGGAAATTCTCAGAAAACATTTTTCACTTTCCAAACCTACGAGAGCTCCATGTATGGGGAAATCAGGACCTCACAGGTAAACTTCCATACTTCAATGCAACTAGTTCCCTTCAGTTTCTTGATCTTGGCGACATAAGTTTTTCTGGCCAATTGCCTGAATCAATCGGCAATCTTAAAGCCTTGGATATTTTGTACCTCTTCAACTGCAACCTTTCGGGGTCCATTCCAGCTTCTGTTTGGAACCTTACAAAAATCACCGATTTAGGCTTCTGGTCTAATAGTTTCAGCAGTCAAATCCCCTCATCAATTTCAAACCTTGCAAAGCTTAGAGGCTTGTATCTTTACGGAAGCAATTTGAACGGACAAATACCGGATTCCCTTGGCAACATGAGCCAACTTACTAATTTGTATCTTTTCGGAAACAATTTGAGCGGTCAAGTACCGGATTCCCTTGGCAACATGAGCCAACTTACTAACTTGGTTCTTTCCGGAAACAATTTGAACGGTCAAATACCGGATTCCCTTGGCAACATGAGCCAACTAACTTCTCTCTATTTGAGTTATAACTCACTCAATGGGACAATACCATCTTCGTTGTTTGCTCTGCCTTCACTGGTTTATATAGAATTGATTAACAATAAGCTACAGGGACCAATTCCAGGATCAGTTTATGAACTTCAGAACCTAACATTCTTGCGGCTTTCATCAAATAACTTGAGTGGTGTAGTGGATCTAGACAAGCTTCTAAAGCTTAAAAATCTGATCTCTCTTGATCTCTCATATAATGGTCTCTCATTGAGCATCAACAACAGTGTCAACTCTACCTTGACCAACTTTGAAACTATAAGATTAGCTTCTTGCAACTTGAGCGAATTCAACTAAGACAAGGGCATCAGATAAATGTGTAACCTTAACCAATATGTAATCTTTCAAAATCAGTTAATATAAATAATCAATATGTCATTTCATTTCTATCATTTTTCTTTTTACCATGACGAGTAAATCAATTAATCAAGTTCATCATTATCAAAATAACCAATATGAGACTACAACTCAAAGATTCACAATTTAACACATTCATCACTTCAATATTTTTCCATTTTACGGAATCACGTTCGAGGGAATCGGCACCCATATATATATATATATATATAAGATTTTGGGACTTTCACCCTGGACACTCCGGCCAACTTAATAGAGATGATACTGAAACACAAAAAAAAAAAAGAAAAAGAAAAACTAATTGCATATCTAATACACTTGAATATAGGTCAGACTTATAAGACAATTATAACTTATATTTTCGTCCACATTCCTTAGAAATCTCCCACCACCCACCAAGTTGGTTGTCCTATTCTATCTCTAACAATTATTAAGAGGAAATAGAGCGATACTGTCCATTCAAAAATAAATTAATAAGCCTTATTTTTAAGTGTCAAATCATAAATTGAATCATCAATTGATTTTTAATAAAAATAAATGATAAATTTTAAGATTCACTTCATTTTATATTTAAAATAAAATATATTCATAAAAAATCACGTATATAGTTCTTAAAATAAAAAAAAAAATCTATACATATAATATGAATTTGTGGATGATGCTAGTGTGAATTAATTTCTTGTTGCCCATTTATAAATGCTACTCATTTATAATCCCTTTATGAAATTAAAACAAATAAGTTTCAAACAAATAAAATTGGGCGTGGTTGACGGTTTCGAGTTGAGCTTGTCAATACCAAATTGAGTATAAATTCCATCATTTTGAAATTTCAGCAAATGTCAACTTCGAAGTATTCCCTTATTTCCAAGAAGTTATCTCGTGGCTATATTTCTATCTTAAAACAATGAAACACCAAAAAAAAAAAAGAAAAAAGAAAAAGAAACTAATTGCATATCTAGTACACTTGAATATAGGCCAGACTTATAAGACAATTATGACTTATATTTTCAGTCACATTCCGTAGAAATCTCCCACCACCCATCCAAGTTGGTTGTCCTATTCTATCTCTAACAATTATTAAGAGAAGTAGAGCGATACTGTCCATTCAAAATAAATTAATAAGTCTTATTTTTAAGTGTCAAATCAATATAATTGAATCATCAATTGATTTTTATATAAATAAATAATGAATTTTAAGATTCACTTCATTTATATTTTAAATAAAATATATCATAAAAAATCACAGATATAGTTCTTAAATTTTTAAAAAAAAAATATACATATATATGATTTGTGGATGATGCTAGTGTGAATTAAATTTCTTGTTGCCCATTTATAAATACTACTCATTTATAATTCGTTTATGAAATTAAAAAAAATAAGTTTCAAACTATAAAATTAGGCGTGGTTACAGTTTCGAGTTGAGTTTGTCAATACCAAATTGAGTAATAATTCCGTCATTTGAAAGTTCAGCAAATGTCAACTTCAAAGTATTCTCTTATTTCCAAGAAGTTATCTCGTGGCTATATTTCTATCTTAAAACAATGAAACACATAATTAATTCATCTAAATAAAAATAAAAACAAAAACTAATTACATATCTAATACACTTGAATATAGGCCGACTTATAAGATAATTATGACTTATATTTCCAATCAATTCCTAAGAAATCTCCCACCACCCACCCAAGTTGGTTTGTCCTATTCTATATCTAACAAATATTAAGAGGAAGTAGAGCAATATTGTCCATTCAAAAATAAATAATAAGTCTTTATTTCAAGTGTCAAATCATAAATTGAATCATCAATTGATTTTTTAATAAAATAAAGTGATGAATTTTAAGATTCATTTATATTTTTAAAATACATACATAAAAAATCATATATATAGATTTCTTAATTAAAAAAATACATATAATATAAAATATTAAAGTGCAAGTGTACAATTATAGAATATATATATATATTTTAAATTAATAAATGAATTTTATTAATGTGTGTCCTTGAGACACGAGAAGAAATTAAAGTATTATTCATCATGAATAAAATGAGTATATAATATAATAAATATATACTTTTAATCTATTTACAAAATTAACACAAATTTAAATAAGTTTCAGACGAATAAAATTGGCCGTGCTTATGTGGTTTTGAGTTAAGTTTGTCAATTCTAAATTGAGTATGATTCAGTTACTTTGAAAGTTCAACACAATATCTCTTATTTCTAAAAATTATTTGGTGGATCCATGTTTCATGATGGCTGTGCTTTCATGAATTGGGGACCGTAGGCACACACAAGCATAACATGGTGTTGTAAGGCTCATTGGATCTTTGTCCCGAACTCAATATTGATTCAAACTTTTCATTGTGTAAGGTTTATTGGGTAGATTATCTATGAAAAAAATCAAATCAGTTGGTTATTTATAACCTTAAAATAACATCACATATTTTTAAAAAAAATAAGCGATTAATATAAATATTAATATTATTAAAGCAATTAGGACTTGATTTTTTACAATGATGATAGGTTCGACAAACCTTTAATGTGAATTATTTAAATCATCAAATAGATGTGGGACAAGTCTTCATGATACATCAAAACATGCATTATGTGCCACAAGGGACAACACGCACCTCATATATAGCGATTTCGATTTTGACCCGACTCGTTTGATAAAATTAAAAAAAAAAATACTATAATAATCCAGGTGGTTATGTAGGAGGAATTATTTTGTTTGCATGTATCAACATGTATTAACTTCAAGGTATTCCCTTATTTCCAAGTTATCTAGTGGATCCATTCATCTAGGTGGTTATGTGCGAGGAATTATTTTGTTTTGTGGGAATTTCACGTGGTCGTGTGGTTAGCGAATAGTAGGGGCTAAATGAATACATGACTTCCAAATAAGGAAAAGTGGAAAAATTATAGAATATTATTGGATGGGCACATGGACACGCAGTATTCCAAACTTACTAAATAATTTTTGTTGTGTGTCGATCTTATAACAATGAGACACATAATTAGTTTGCCTCAATTGTAAGAGAAAATGTATGAAAAATTAATAATATGGTCTCATACACTTAGAAGGACAAACCACATAAAATACAGGTTAGTCCTTAGAAATCTCCCATCTCTAACAATTATCAAGGGAACTAGAGCAAAGCAATGTGTTCAAAATAAATTAAAAAAAATTATCAATAAATCTTATTTTCAAGAGTATTAATGAATCATTTTCAATGCAGACAATTAAAGTCTTATCTATTCTAATTTATTCTAAAAAAGTTCACTTTTTCTTAATACTATATTTTATTCCAATTATACCATAAACAACAATTACATAAACAATTTTAATTTACTTAAAAAAATATATTTTTTATTTGCAAAATTGAACAAACTGCATCAAAAAATCATACTCAACATTTGATGAAAATAACTATATCATAGGATTCATCATTTTCTGTTGCCTTGTACTATGAAAAATATTTTTATTAAACAATCTATAATGTCTGTTTTTTTAAATATTCCATTAAAGAAATTGTGAAAAATAATACCCTAAAAATTCATTTTTTTTTATTAACTGCGGGACAACAAAAAAAATGATTCTTACATTTATGCTTTTGTTCAATTAAAAGCAAACCAGTCCCAAAATATTTTATTACTTGCTTTATAAATAGTCAAGGCATTACCAAGTTTAATGATTAAAGGAAAACTATATTAGTAGTCTTTATATTTTTACTCTGTGTTATTTTTGTTTTTATAATTTCAATTGACTCAATTTCAATATTAATTTATGATTTTATCTTAATTTGATCCAATTGATTACAACTTTTAGTATTTTCTTTTTATAAAAATGTGCCTATGAGTTGCATGCTTCATATTTTTATAGCTAAAAAATTGTAAATTATTCAATTCAATTCTCAACTAACTCAGTAACATTTTTTCTTTCAACAACCATAATTAATGTTATCAATTAAATCAAATTAAAAAAAATTAAAAGTTAAGAATTCGAAATAAAATTAATTAAAAATACTTAAACTAAAATGACACAATAGACAAAATGTAAAGAATATCAAGACAAAGAATCATTGTTGCGAATTTGGAAGTCATGTGGCTGGTGGACAAAATTACACAGTTGCTGTGCTTGACGGGCTGGGCTGGGTTGCTCACCACCACTACCATAGAAAGATTAGCAGTGTGTATAAGAATGAGTATGCATTTATTCCTTCTCCATCATCAAACTACTATCCTTCTATACTCTCCTTTTCATATCTCTCCGAACCTTCTACCTGTAAGAGAACAAAATGAGTTGGCTTATGTTTGTTCTTCATCAATTTCTTCTGCTATTTCTCTTGTCTTCTTCTTCTTTTTCTACTTCTGCACGCCATACCTGCCTTGAGGACCAGAGATTTTCACTTCTCCAATTTAAAACAACATTTACCATAACTGCTAATGCCTCTTCTCCACGTTGTGAATCTGATTCTCATCCTAAAATGGTGTTCTGGAATGAGAGTAGTGATTGCTGCTCGTGGGAGGGGTCACGTGCGACTGGTCCAATGGTCATGTGATTGACTTGACCTCAGTTGCAGCCACCTTCAAGGCACCATCCAACCCAACACCACCTCTCTTCCACCTTCGTCACCTCCAAACCCTCAATCTTGCCTTCAATGACTTCAATTTCTCTACAATTTCACCTGATTTTGGCTCTTTTCCAAGTTTGACCCATCTCAACCTCTCTTTCTCTAATTTTACGGGCCGAATTCCTTCAAAAATCTGCCATCTGTCCAAATTGATTTCCCTAGACCTCTCTTATTTGGATGGTTATTATTATCCTCTCAAGGGAGACTTGAACAACACACTTTCAATATGCTCCTTCGAAACCTAACCCAATTAAGAGAACTACACCTTGATTTGTTGAATATCTCTTCACCTTTACCTCATGCTTTGCTAAATCTATCTTCTTTGACATCTCTCAGTCTTGTATTGTCAATGCGTGGGAAATTCTCAGAAAACATTTTTCACTTTCCAAACCTACGAGAGCTCCATGTATGGGGAAATCAGGACCTCACAGGTAAACTTCCTACTTCAATGCAACTAGTTCCTTCAGTTTCTTGATCTTGGCGACATAAGTTTTTCTGGCCAATTGCCTGAATCAATCGGCAATCTTAAAGCCTTGAATATTTTGTACCTCTTCAACTGCAACCTTTCGGGGTCCATTCCAGCTTCTGTTTGGAACCTTACAAAAATCACCGATTTAGGCTTCTGGTCTAATAGTTTCAGCAGTCAAATCCCTCATCAATTTCAAACCTGCAAAGCTTAGAGGCTTGTATCTTTACGGAAGCAATTTGAACGGAACAAATACCGGATTCCCTTGGCAACATGAGCCAACTTACTAATTTGTATCTTTTCGGAAACAATTTGAGCGGTCAAGTACCGGATTCCCTTGGCAACATGAGCCAACTTACTAACTTGGTTCTTTCCGGAAACAATTTGAACGGTAAAATACCGGATTCCCTTGGCAACATGAGCCAACTAACTTCTCTCTATTGAGTTATAACTCACTCAATGGGACAATACCATCTTCGTTGTTTGCTCTGCCTCACTGGTTGAGATAGGATGGAGTAACAATAAGCTACAGGGACCAATTCCAGGATTAGTTTATGAACTCCAGAACCTAACCTCCTTGCGGGTTTCATCAAATAACTTAGTGAGTGTTTTGATCTAGATAAGCTTCTAAAGTTAAAAATCTGATCTATTCTTGATTCTCATCATAATGGTCTCTCATTGAGCATCAACAACAGTGTCAACTCTACCTTGACCAACTTTGACACTATAGGATTAGCTTCTTGCAACTTGAGCGAATTCCAAACTTCTTGAGAGAACAAGCCAGATTGGGTTCTCTAGACCTTTCAAACAACAAAATTCACGGTGAAGTTCCAAAATGGTTATTCAATGTGGGGAAAGATTCATTGCAAAATTTAGATCTTTCACATAATTTCCTTACAAGTTTAGAGCATCTTCCATGGAAGAATCTACAATATATTGACCTGCACTCCAACTTACTCCAAGGACCACTCCTATTCCACCTAACACACAATTGTTTTCTCTATCTCAAACAATAAATTAAGTGGGGAAATCCCTCATTGATTTGCGGTCTGAGTTCACTTCAAGTTCTTGGTCTGTCTAATAACAGTTTGAGTGGCTTGATTCCACAATGTTTGGGAAACTTGAGCAACAGTCTCTCGGTGCTGAATTTAGGAATCAATAGCTTTTCTGGCACCTTTATGCAACATTTACCAAAGGCAATTCGCTAAGGAATCTTAACTTGAACAATTGAAACAAGTTCCGCGATCTTTGCTCAATTGTGAATACTTGGAAGTTCTAGATCTTGGAAAAAACAAGATAAACGATACATTCCCTTATTGGTTGGAAACTCTTACAGAATTGCAGGTTCTTGTCTTGAGATTTAATAGGTTTCATGGTCACATAGGCACCTCCAAGACCAAAGGCAAACATCCTTTCCTAAGTTGAGAATATTTGACATATCTTGCAATGAGTTCATTGGCCTTTTGCCAACAAATTATATCAAACAATTTGGAGCTATGATGAATGTTGATGAACATGAAATGAAATTGAAATACATGGGTGACAGCTATTATCAAGATTCTGTGGTGGTGATGATTAAAGGATATGAGATTGAATTATCAAGAATCTTAATAGTCTTATCAATCATTGATTTTTCAAGAAATAAATTCCAAGGAGAGATTCCGAAATCCATTGGGAGGCTTAAG